GTAGGCGGTGGTGCTACTGGTGTTGTTGTCTGGATCGTTGAAGTTACTGAAACAGCTGTTTGAAATAATAAGGACATTTATTTTCTTTCCCTTAAGGTGGCTGCCTACTTTTGAACGTTCGAATTGAGCCCACAATGATCGCGCGCTCATAAACCGCCGAAAAATCTACAATATTTTATTGAAGAACCATACGCCTTTTGAGCTTCAACAGGGAAAAMCCTCAAATTTTGCACGAAACTCTCTATTTTTTAATAGCTCATTTGAAAAAACTCCTAAAAATCTAGGTTATATCAACATTTTAGAAAACGTTTAAATCAGTAACACATGAAAAAATAGATTTTTGTAGGGATTTTTGTTCGACTTTATGAGATTTTTTAAGAGCACCGAAACTACAAAATATGACAAATCAATGTATTTTTTTTTTTGTATTTTTGTCGAAAATATCCATGTATTATTGTAGAATGATTGACTAGCCTTCATTCCTGTAATCATAGAGTCTGCAAATAACTATTATCTTATGAATCTTAATTTTTTTCTAACCACTTCCGGTGGCGCAATTTTTACTCCAAAAGCTCGTGCGTAGGCTTCCATTAAATGCTGATTATCTCGAAAAGGAGMTCGGGACACACTATTTTTCTTTCCAGATTTGGAATCAGCATTAAATTTCAATTCGGAAATCGAAGTTTTAAAAAAAGTTTAAATTAATTTCCAAAAGTAGGCAGTCACCTTAATCAAATGTTCAGATCAAACGCCTAACGAACTCAAACATTAAAATTTTTGTTTGTCATTTTTATTTTATCAATGTCAGGTCCATTAAGTGAAAGCACTTCATGTGTCCAACATGAGATTCAGATTTGCTTTACCTTGCCTTTGCCTAGAAACCCCAGTCTGAACATAACGATTTTCAATAATTGTGGTAATCATGATTCATCTTTACATGATCACATAACATCAACCTTTTGGATGGTAGGAACCATACAATCATTTACATTTGAATTCGAAAGAAATAATTCAATTCCCAGATTAAACCGGACAAGGATTCTAGTGTTCTACCATCTACCATGTACCATGGACGCCGGCAGTTGAGCATGAAAAACCTAGGCCCATTTCATATTTATAATTAGCAAAGAGAGAATGACTCCCAAGGGCGGATCCAGGGTTTTTTGAAGGGGGGGTCTCAGGGGTAAATTTTGTGGGCAAAGGAATCCCAGTCGCATTTTTACCACAGGAAGCCCATTTGACTTCAGGAATGACAGGGGGGTCGCGATCCCCCCGACCCTCCCCCTGGATCCGCCCTTGACTCCGATGCAGTCGCGACCATTGGCGTTGAGTAAGCGACTAAAGAGAGAGAAAGTTAAGAGAGGGAAAAAAACATGAAAAATGGAAAGAAAAAAAACTAGCGATGGGAAAAGAAAGTATACCCTAGGTTTTAACCAATGTAGTGTTAGTACGTGTAATTGATCCCCTTCCCAAAACAATTGGATGAATAATTATGATTTAGGATTACATAGTAATATTTATGAGTGTGTCAGTTCTTAAAGACGCCTTACAATCATGAGAGGTGGTTGTCTGAAGTCACCGTCATCACTGTCACCATCACCATAATTCCGACAGACAGTAKTTAGGAAATATCTTAAGTTAAGGTAGATTCCATTCTCAAACAATATAGTATTGAGTACCGGTTAAGGAACATATAAACGAAAAGGCATTTAATAGCATGATAGATATTCTTCATATAAGGCTTTTCACAGAAACGTTCACGGAAGGCAGGCAGGCAGGCAGGCAGGCAGGCAGGCAGGCAGGCAG